CCAGTCCTCGTCCTGCACCCACCCTCCAAATCCGACTCCTCCTCGACGCACAACAACAACAACGCACACTGCCTGCAATCACCCGTGCCTAGTGCCTTGTCCGCACGCTTTCCTTCCTCCGCCCGCCTCTCCCTGCTGCGAAACACCCCACACGCATCCTCGACAGGCACCCTCTTCAGCGCGCAACACGCAACACAACACAACTATCGAATACGTCAGCACGCGCTTTAACGCCACGACAAACACCAAAGCCCGCCTCGCGCCCCTTTCCCCCCAAAACACCGCACTGCCCAACCAGCCCTCAAACGTTCCAAGCCTTTAAACCACATAAACCGCCCTCTCAAACTAACCGCTTCGCTACTCCCCACTTGCCAGCACCGCTCACCACACTGGCTCAACAACACGCAACACTAACCAAACAAAACGCCTCAGCGGGCTCCAAACACTGTCCGAACCAGGAATTGAACCTGGGTTTACACGGCCACAACGTGTTGTCCTAACCTCTAGACGATTCGGACCAATGGTCGCTCCCGTCACCGCCGACGAAACGCATTCGCCGCTCCTCTGCCAAACACTGTTAATGAATCTACTCCGCCTCAGCCCAGGGCTCCCCACGTTCTACACCCACCTCTTGTCCTCTCAACCTCTGCCTGCGCAGCCGCCCCACCCAGTTTCTCTCGCCTACGCCCTCCTTTCCCCACTCCAACGCGCCGCAGCAGCAACGTCCATAAATGCACCTTCCTCCAGCCCTGCGCCAACCCAGTCCTCGTCCTGCACCCACCCTCCAAATCCGACTCCTCCTCGACGCACAACAACAACAACGCACACTGCCTGCAATCACCCGTGCCTAGCGCCTTGTCCGCACGCTTTCCTTCCTCCGCCCGCCTCTCCCTGCTGCGAAACACCCCACACGCATCCTCGATAGGCACCCTCTTCAGCGCGCAACACGCAACACAACACAACTATCGAATACGTCAGCACGCGCTTTAACGCCACGACAAACACCAAAGCCCGCCTCGCGCCCCTTTCCCCCCCCAAACACTGCACTGCCCAACCACCCCTCAAACGTTCCAAGCCTTTAAACCACACAAACCGCCCTCTCCAACTAACTGCTTCGCTACTCCCCACTTGCCAGCACCGCTCACCACACTGGCTCAACAACACGCAACACTAACCAAACAAAACGCCTCCGCGGGCTCCAAACACTGTCCAAACCAGGAATTGAACCTGGGTTTACACGGCCACAACGTGTTGTCCTAACCTCTAGACGATTCGGACCAATGGTCACTCCCGTCACCGCCGACGAAACGCATTCGCCGCTCCTCTGCCAAACACTGCTAATGAATCTACTCCGCCTCAGCCCAGAGCTCCCCACGTCCTACACCCACCTCTTGTCCTCTCAACCTCTGCCTGCGCAGCCGCCCCACCCAGTTTCTCTCGCCTACGCCCTCCTTTCCCCACTCCAACGCGCCGCAGCAGCAACGTCCATAAATGCACCTTCCTCCAGCCCTGCGCCAACCCAGTCCTCGTCCTGCACCCACCCTCCAAATCCGACTCCTCCTCGACGCACAACAACAACAACGCACACTGCCTGCAATCACCCGTGCCTAGTGCCTTGTCCGCACGCTTTCCTTCCTCCGCCCGCCTCTCCCTGCTGCGAAACACCCCACACGCATCCTCGACAGGCATTCTCTTCAGCGCGCAACACGCAACACAACACAACTATCGAATACGTCAGCACGCGCTTTAACGCCACGACAAACACCAAAGCCCGCCTCGCGCCCCTTTCCCCCCCAAACACTGCACTGCCCAACCACCCCTCAAACGTTCCAAGCCTTTAAACCACACAAACCGCCCTCTCCAACTAACCGCTTCGCTACTCCCCACTTGCCAGCACCGCTCACCACACTGGCTCAACAACACGCAACACTAACCAAACAAAACCCTCAGCGGGCTCCAAACACTGTCCGAACCAGGAATTGAACCTGGGTTTACACGGCCACAACGTGTTGTCCTAACCTCTAGACGATTCGGACCAATGGTCACTCCCGTCACCGCCGACGAAACGCATTCGCCGCTCCTCTGCCAAACACTGCTAATGAATCTACTCCGCCTCAGCCCAGGGCTCCCCACGTTCTACACCCACCTCTTGTCCTCTCAACCTCTGCCTGCGCAGCCGCCCCACCCAGTTTCTCTCGCCTACGCCCTCCTTTCCCCACTCCAACGCGCCGCAGCAGCAACGTCCATAAATGCACCTTCCTCCAGCCCTGCGCCAACCCAGTCCTCGTCCTGCACCCACCCTCCAAATCCGACTCCTCCTCGACGCACAACAACAACAACGCACACTGCCTGCAATCACCCGTGCCTAGCGCCTTGTCCGCACGCTTTCCTTCCTCCGCCCGCCTCTCCCTGCTGCGAAACACCCCACACGCATCCTCGATAGGCACCCTCTTCAGCGCGCAACACGCAACACAACACAACTATCGAATACGTCAGCACGCGCTTTAACGCCACGACAAACACCAAAGCCCGCCTCGCGCCCCTTTCCCCCCCCAAACACTGCACTGCCCAACCACCCCTCAAACGTTCCAAGCCTTTAAACCACACAAACCGCCCTCTCCAACTAACCGCTTCGCTACTCCCCACTTGCCAGCACCGCTCACCACACTGGCTCAACAACACGCAACACTAACCAAACAAAACGCCTCAGCGGGCTCCAAACACTGTCCGAACCAGCAATTGAACCTGGGTTTACACGGCCACAACGTGTTGTCCTAACCTCTACACGATTCGGACCAATGGTCACTCCCGTCACCGCCGACGAAACGCATTCGCCGCTCCTCTGCCAAACACTGCTAATGAATCTACTCCGCCTCAGCCCAGGGCTCCCCACGTTCTACACCCACCTCTTGTCCTCTCAACCTCTGCCTGCGCAGCCGCCCCACCCAGTTTCTCTCGCCTACGCCCTCCTTTCCCCACTCCAACGCGCCGCAGCAGCAACATCCATAAATGCACCTTCCTCCAGCCCTGCGCCAACCCAGTCCTCGTCCTGCACCCACCCTCCAAATCCGACTCCTCCTCGACGCACAACAACAACAACGCACACTGCCTGCAACCACCCGTGCCTAGTGCCTTGTCCGCACGCTTTCCTTCCTCCGCCCGCCTCTCCCTGCTGCGAAACACCCCACACGCATCCTCGACAGGCACCCTCTTCAGCGCGCAACACGCAACACAACACAACTATCGAATACGTCAGCACGCGCTTTAACGCCACGACAAACACCAAAGCCCGCCTCGCGCCCCTTTCCCCCCCCAAACACTGCACTGCCCAACCACCCCTCAAACGTTCCAAGCCTTTAAACCACACAAACCGCCCTCTCCAACTAACCGCTTCGCTACTCCCCACTTGCCAGCACCGCTCACAACACTGGCTCAACAACACGCAACACTAACCAAACAAAACGCCTCAGCGGGCTCCAAACACTGTCCGAACCAGGAATTGAACCTGGGTTTACACGGCCACAACGTGTTGTCCTAACCTCTACACGATTCGGACCAATGGTCACTCCCGTCACCGCCGACGAAACGCATTCGCCGCTCCTCTGCCAAACACTGCTAATGAATCTACTCCGCCTCAGCCCAGGGCTCCCCACGTTCTACACCCACCTCTTGTCCTCTCAACCTCTGCCTGCGCAGCCGCCCCACCCAGTTTCTCTCGCCTACGCCCTCCTTTCCCCACTCCAACGCGCCGCAGCAGCAACGTCCATAAATGCACCTTCCTCCAGCCCTGCGCCAACCCAGTCCTCGTCCTGCACCCACCCTCCAAATCCGACTCCTCCTCGACGCACAACAACAACAACGCACACTGCCTGCAATCACCCGTGCCTAGTGCCTTGTCCGCACGCTTTCCTTCCTCCGCCCGCCTCTCCCTGCTGCGAAACACCCCACACGCATCCTCGACAGGCACCCTCTTCAGCGCGCAACACGCAACACAACACAACTATCGAATACGTCAGCACGCGCTTTAACGCCACGACAAACACCAAAGCCCGCCTCGCGCCTCTTTTCCTCCCCAAACACTGCACTGCCCAACCACCCCTCAAACGTTCCAAGCCTTTAAACCACACAAACCGCCCTCTCCAACTAACCGCTTCGCTACTCCCCACTTGCCAGCACCGCTCACCACACTGGCTCAACAACACGCAACACTAATCAAACAAAACGCCTCAGCGGGCTCCAAACACCGTCTGAATCAGGAATTGAACCTGGGTTTACACGGCCACAACGTGTTGTGCTAACCTCTAGACGATTCGGACCAATGGTCACTCCCGTCACCGCCGACGAAACGCATTCGCCGCTCCTCTGCCAAACACTGTTAATGAATCTACTCCGCCTCAGCCCAGGGCTCCCCACGTTCTACACCCACCTCTTGTCCTCTCAACCTCTGCCTGCGCAGCCGCCCCACCCAGTTTCTCTCGCCTACGCCCTCCTTTCCCCACTCCAACGCGCCGCAGCAGCAACGTCCATAAATGCACCTTCCTCCAGCCCTGCGCCAACCCAGTCCTCGTCCTGCACCCACCCTCCAAATCCGACTCCTCCTCGACGCACAACAACAACGACGCACACTGCCTGCAATCACCCGCGCCTAGTGCCTTGTCCGCACGCTTTCCTTCCTCCGCTCGCCTCTCCCTGCTGCGAAACACCCCACACGCATCCTCGACAGGCACCCTCTTCAGCGCGCAACACGCAACACAACACAACTATCGAATACGTCAGCACGCGCTTTAACGCCACGACAAACACCAAAGCCCGCCTCGCGCCCCTTTCCCCCCCAAACACTGCACTGCCCAACCACCCCTCAAACGTTCCAAGCCTTTAAGCCACACAAACCGCCCTCTCCAACTAACCGCTTCGCTACTCCCCACTTGCCAGCACCGCTCACCACACTGGCTCAACAACACGCAACACTAACCAAACAAAACGCCTCAGCGGGCTCCAAACACTGTCCGAACCAGGAATTGAACCTGGGTTTACACGGCCACAACGTGTTGTCCTAACCTCTAGACGATTCGGACCAATGGTCACTCCCGTCACCGCCGACGAAACGCATTCGCCGCTCCTCTGCCAAACACTGCTAATGAATCTACTCCGCCTCAGCCCAGGGCTCCCCACGTTCTACACCCACCTCTTGTCCTCTCAACCTCTGCCTGCGCAGCCGCCCCACCCAGTTTCTCTCGCCTACGCCCTCCTTTCCCCACTCCAACGCGCCGCAGCAGCAACGTCCATAAATGCACCTTCCTCCAGCCCTGCGCCAACCCAGTCCTCGTCCTGCACCCACCCTCCAAATCCGACTCCTCCTCGACGCACAACAACAACGACGCACACTGCCTGCAATCACCCGTGCCTAGTGCCTTGTCCGCACGCTTTCCTTCCTCCGCCCGCCTCTCCCTGCTGCGAAACACCCCACACGCATCCTCGACAGGCACCCTCTTCAGCGCGCAACACGCAACACAACACAACTATCGAATACGTCAGCACGCGCTTTAACGCCACGACAAACACCAAAGCCCGCCTCGCGCCCCTTTTCCTCCCCAAACACTGCACTGCCCAACCACCCCTCAAACGTTCCAAGCCTTTAAACCACACAAACCGCCCTCTCCAACTAACCGCTTCGCTACTCCCCACTTGCCAGCACCGCTCGCAACACTGGCTCAACAACACACAACACTAACCAAACAAAACGCCTCAGCGGGCTCCAAACACTGTCCGAACCAGGAATTGAACCTGGGTTTACACGGCCACAACGTGTTGTCCTAACCTCTAGACGATTCGGACCAATGGTCACTCCCGTCACCGCCGACGAAACGCATTCGCCGCTCCTCTGCCAAACACTGCTAATGAATCTACTCCGCCTCAGCCCAGAGCTCCCCACGTCCTACACCCACCTCTTGTCCTCTCAACCTCTGCCTGCGCAGCCGCCCCACCCAGTTTCTCTCGCCTACGCCCTCCTTTCCCCACTCCAACGCGCCGCAGCAGCAACATCCATAAATGCACCTTCCTCCAGCCCTGCGCCAACCCAGTCCTCGTCCTGCACCCACCCTCCAAATCCGACTCCTCCTCGACGCACAACAACAACAACGCACACTGCCTGCAACCACCCGTGCCTAGTGCCTTGTCCGCACGCTTTCCTTCCTCCGCCCGCCTCTCCCTGCTGCGAAACACCCCACACGCATCCTCGACAGGCACCCTCTTCAGCGCGCAACACGCAACACAACACAACTATCGAATACGTCAGCACGCGCTTTAACGCCACGACAAACACCAAAGCCCGCCTCGCGCCCCTTTCCCCCCCCAAACACTGCACTGCCCAACCACCCCTCAAACGTTCCAAGCCTTTAAACCACACAAACCGCCCTCTCCAACTAACCGCTTCGCTACTCCCCACTTGCCAGCACCGCTCACCACACTGGCTCAACAACACGCAACACTAACCAAACAAAACGCCTCAGCGGGCTCCAAACACTGTCCGCACCAGGAATCGAACCTGGGTTTACACGGCCACAACGTGTTGTCCTAACCTCTAGACGATTCGGACCAATGGTCACTCCCGTCACCGCCGACGAAACGCATTCGCCGCTCCTCTGCCAAACACTGCTAATGAATCTACTCCGCCTCAGCCCAGAGCTCCCCACGTTCTACACCCACCTCTTGTCCTCTCAACCTCTGCCTGCGCAGCCGCCCCACCCAGTTTCTCTCGCCTACGCCCTCCTTTCCCCACTCCAACGCGCCGCAGCAGCAACGTCCATAAATGCACCTTCCTCCAGCCCTGCGCCAACCCAGTCCTCGTCCTGCACCCACCCTCCAAATCCGACTCCTCCTCGACGCACAACAACAACAACGCACACTGCCTGCAACCACCCGTGCCTAGTCCCTTGTCCGCACGCTTTCCTTCCTCCGCTCGCCTCTCCCTGCTGCGAAACACCCCACACGCATCCTCGACAGGCACCCTCTTCAGCGCGCAACACGCAACACAACACAACTATCGAATACGTCAGCACGCGCTTTAACGCCACGACAAACACCAAAGCCCGCCTCGCGCCCCTTTCCCCCCCCAAACACTGCACTGCCCAACCACCCCTCAAACGTTCCAAGCCTTTAAACCACATAAACCGCCCTCTCAAACTAACCGCTTCGCTACTCCCCACTTGCCAGCACCGCTCACCACACTGGCTCAACAACACGCAACACTAACCAAACAAAACGCCTCCGCGGGCTCCAAACACTGTCCGAACCAGGAATTGAACCTGGGTTTACACGGCCACAACGTGTTGTCCTAACCTCTAGACGATTCGGACCAATGGTCACTCCCGTCACCGCCGACGAAACGCATTCGCCGCTCCTCTGCCAAACACTGCTAATGAATCTACTCCGCCTCAGCCCAGGGCTCCCCACGTTCTACACCCACCTCTTGTCCTCTCAACCTCTGCCTGCGCAGCCGCCCCACCCAGTTTCTCTCGCCTACGCCCTCCTTTCCCCACTCCAACGCGCCGCAGCAGCAACGTCCATAAATGCACCTTCCTCCAGCCCTGCGCCAACCCAGTCCTCGTCCTGCACCCACCCTCCAAATCCGACTCCTCCTCGACGCACAACAACAACAACGCACACTGCCTGCAATCACCCGTGCCTAGTGCCTTGTCCGCACGCTTTCCTTCCTCCGCCCGCCTCTCCCTGCTGCGAAACACCCCACACGCATCCTCGACAGGCACCCTCTTCAGCGCGCAACACGCAACACAACACAACTATCGAATACGTCAGCACGCGCTTTAACGCCACGACAAACACCAAAGCCCGCCTCGCGCCCCTTTCCCCCCCCAAACACTGCACTGCCCAACCACCCCTCAAACGTTCCAAGCCTTTAAACCACACAAACCGCCCTCTCCAACTAACCGCTTCGCTACTCCCCACTTGCCAGCACCGCTCACCACACTGGCTCAACAACACGCAACACTAACCAAACAAAACGCCTCAGCGGGCTCCAAACACTGTCCGAACCAGGAATTGAACCTGGGTTTACACGGCCACAACGTGTTGTCCTAACCTCTAGACGATTCGGACCAATGGTCACTCCCGTCACCGCCGACGAAACGCATTCGCCGCTCCTCTGCCAAACACTGCTAATGAATCTACTCCGCCTCAGCCCAGAGCTCCCCACGTCCTACACCCACCTCTTGTCCTCTCAACCTCTGCCTGCGCAGCCGCCCCACCCAGTTTCTCTCGCCTACGCCCTCCTTTCCCCACTCCAACGCGCCGCAGCAGCAACGTCCATAAATGCACCTTCCTCCAGCCCTGCGCCAACCCAGTCCTCGTCCTGCACCCACCCTCCAAATCCGACTCCTCCTCGACGCACAACAACAACGACGCACACTGCCTGCAATCACCCGTGCCTAGTGCCTTGTCCGCACGCTTTCCTTCCTCCGCTCGCCTCTCCCTGCTGCGAAACACCCCACACGCATCCTCGACAGGCACCCTTTTCAGCGCGCAACACGCAACACAACACAACTATCGAATACGTCAGCACGCGCTTTAACGCCACGACAAACACCAAAGCCCGCCTCGCGCCCCTTTTCCTCCCCAAACACTGCACTGCCCAACCACCCCTCAAACGTTCCAAGCCTTTAAACCACACAAACCGCCCTCTCCAACTAACCGCTTCGCTACTCCCCACTTGCCAGCACCGCTCACCACACTGGCTCAACAACACGCAACACTAACCAAACAAAACGCCTCAGCGGGCTCCAAACACTGTCCGAACCAGCAATTGAACCTGGGTTTACACGGCCACAACGTGTTGTCCTAACCTCTAGACGATTCGGACCAATGGTCACTCCCGTCACCGCCGACGAAACGCATTCGCCGCTCCTCTGCCAAACACTGCTAATGAATCTACTCCGCCTCAGCCCAGGGCTCCCCACGTTCTACACCCACCTCTTGTCCTCTCAACCTCTGCCTGCGCAGCCGCCCCACCCAGTTTCTCTCGCCTACGCCCTCCTTTCCCCACTCCAACGCGCCGCAGCAGCAACGTCCATAAATGCACCTTCCTCCAGCCCTGCGCCAACCCAGTCCTCGTCCTGCACCCACCCTCCAAATCCGACTCCTCCTCGACGCACAACAACAACAACGCACACTGCCTGCAATCACCCGTGCCTAGTGCCTTGTCCGCACGCTTTCCTTCCTCCGCCCGCCTCTCCCTGCTGCGAAACACCCCACACGCATCCTCGACAGGCACCCTCTTCAGCGCGCAACACGCAACACAACACAACTATCGAATACGTCAGCACGCGCTTTAACGCCACGACAAACACCAAAGCCCGCCTCGCGCCCCTTTCCCCCCCAAACACCGCACTGACCAACCACCCCTCAAACGTTCCAAGCCTTTAAACCACACAAACCGCCCTCTCCAACTAACCGCTTCGCTACTCCCCACTTGCCAGCACCGCTCACAACACTGGCTCAACAACACGCAACACTAACCAAACAAAACGCCTCAGCGGGCTCCAAACACTGTCCGAACCAGGAATTGAACCTGGGTTTACACGGCCACAACGTGTTGTCCTAACCTCTAGACGATTCGGACCAATGGTCACTCCCGTCACCGCCGACGAAACGCATTCGCCGCTCCTCTGCCAAACACTGCTAATGAATCTACTCCGCCTCAGCCCAGGGCTCCCCACGTTCTCCACCCACCTCTTGTCCTCTCAACCTCTGCCTGCGCAGCCGCCCCACCCAGTTTCTCTCGCCTACGCCCTCCTTTCCCCACTCCAACGCGCCGCAGCAGCAACGTCCATAAATGCACCTTCCTCCAGCCCTGCGCCAACCCAG